CTTCGGTAGGTTCGTCAACTACGTTCTCCGATAGGGAGATTCAGGACTTTGAAACTTCCCAAAGAGACAAGCGAAAGACACTTTCACTCCTTGTACTGTTAAAGGAAAGAAATAAATATAAGGTCATATGAGAGAATTTGCCAGTTTAACCCGACGGGCGTAAGACTGAAAAAATGGCACAACAGAGCTGCCCATTGTTAAAAGTGTAAATGTCTTTTTTTGCGAAGAGTTAAAAGCCTCGAATTTTACTTCGAATACTAGCCCTTCAAAGTGGCATTCATTGATGGATAAGCGATCGGCGCGTTTCGATGATTATCGAGCTGACTCGGGTCCAATCAATCAAAGCACCTGCGAGTCGATGATGGCCCCCGTTTCCTGAATCAATTAAAAGGACGACCGTCCTTCCAGCCTGTCTCTCCCACGAGTGGCTCAAATCGCAATTGATTTGCGGCCGATCGATCCTTGCATCCCGATAATTCGCCGATTTGGGGTTGATTAATCGAGCATTGTTCCATTTCCAGGGATTAGCTTGCCATCGGCGTGACGTTGATGCCACGAAAAGTTCTTCATTGAAGTAAACGGTGTCCTACCTTATCAAGTCGTCTATGATGGAAATAAAAAATATCGATACTAGGAAAAATCTTCGGTGTGTCGTTAAAGGACCTACTGATAGGGGCAATTCTCCATTACGAGTGATCATCGGGACGCACCGATCGATTATCAGTAAATGAAGTTCAATTTGGCTGATTAGCATTTGAAGAGAATGTCGAGGCTCCCAAACCTTGGAAATTGATGTTCTTACGTCAAGAAGTTCGATGGAGAAATACATTTTTCCGAATCAGCTGTTCCTTGTAAACAGTTCTCATTACGTCCTCGCGGTACATATCGTAACATCTGACGGTCCGATAAGGCTTACCTATCATGTTTTACGCCATTGTTATTACCCCTTAACGCCTCGGTGAACTCCTATTATCACATTCCAGTGTACAGTAATGTACACGCACGCGCAGAACATGGCATGTACGTAAGCACATACGGTCTTGCATATTACGTTTCATCCCCCCCCCCCCTCTTTGGTAAATCCTCTAGCTGCAATTTCATCCCAGAGAGGTGGCTACCCTCCTCCAGAATTGACGAGGAAATTCCGCTTAAGATCGCAGTTTGCATTAGACTTCATTCTTCCCCCCCCCCCCGTCCTTGTTATTATCATAATTGCGAGAAATTCGTGCAAGTACTCGAACACGGAAATTCCTTCGTAATATCATAAATGTAATTAATAATGGTGCATCAGTGACTTGACATGAGATTTGGGAATGTCCCTTGCGAGGATTATGCATTGTCGGAAAAATTCGCAGAACATTGTTGTGTAATTCGATAAATAGAATTTTTTTGTTTCATTTGAAAGTGTTATCTTTTTTAGAAAGGAAACGCGTTTGAATTTTAAAACCGAGTTTATGGGGAGGTTTCGGAGAATAGGATTCACTCGAGAAGGGAGTTTTTCTTGCATTTACGCGGAATTCACTGAAAACGGGAAAATGGCTGTCTTTATCGTCGAGCAGTTGGGAAACAGGTAAAAGACTAACGCTATTTCTTTTCATCCGGGAAAGTTGCCGCTGCAAAAGCGCGAGATTGTCGCGGGGCTCGACGTAAATGGGCCGTATAATGCGCGATAACCGCTGTATTGAATTAGGAATGAAAAAGGAAAAAACGGAAAAAGGAGAAGAGCCAGGGACGCCGAGCAGCTGCTTTAGAAGCCTGAGAACACGCTTTTCCATTTGACAACTGAAAATGCCGTTCAACTCGGCGCCACGTGTGAAGAGACCTCTTTAATATTATCGGGACAATTTTAATCCACTCGGAAAATTTGGAAAGCAATATACGGATTAACTTTATCGACCGTTTATATAATTGAATTGGACATCTGGTATTAAGAGGAATTTAATTTATTGAAAGGGAAGAAGAATTTATTGAACGGGCCGAGAACTGCCTGCTTAAATTCGGATTGTCGGTTTAAAAATTCATACCTAATTAAACATTGAAATGTTAATATTCAATATCAAAGGCTTAGCGTAATTTTCAGGTGTTCTGGCAAAAGCAGGTGAAAATCCTTTTGACCCAGGTTTTAAAAAAGCGGAAGAAACACGAGAAAACAATCCAGAACGTGGGGCGAGCGCCCAGGCATATTGTTAAGCCCTGATTAAAAATTTAGTTTAACCCTTTAGTCTGCACTTTACAAATTGTTCAAAGCAACGCGGCTAGAAGGTGCAGCAAGTGACGGAGAAACATATTTTACACAATGCATTATTCGAAATAAAGAATTAATTTTAATTAAACAACAAGCACAATTTTTAACGTTTAATAAATCTTCCGATGGCGTAACGAATACTATAACGTGTGGGAGGGTCGTTCCATTATTCACTATGCAAGGATTTTATTACGTATTGTAGAACAAGTAGTATCCCGGTAAACAAAGAATTAACATCAAGAGCGATGGGAACGGATAATACAGGATCGGCGTATAGGAACAATGTTACGCGTGATGTATTTTTAAAAAGAGAGAAAAAAAAAAGGGAAATTCGCAGGACTTCGCAGGACCAATGGCCGCGTCGACAAAGAAAAACATGGCGGCGAAGCCGGCCGAGTATTCGCGTGACGCGATAATAAACGAGACCACTCTGCATTTTTTCGCCCCGAGTCTCTTTTTTCCATCCGACCATTTTTTTTGTTTTCCTTCTCTCGTTCTTTTTTCTATCACGCGTAACTAGAGCGCCGTGATTATTTGACCGTAGCCTCGACATTTTCAGGCCGTTAATTAGACGGTACAACCGGGTCACGTCAACCGTTTTCAAAAAAAGAGGATCAAGAGGAAACGGGAGAAGGAATAAAGGGCGGCCGAGTCGCGTTACAGGAACAACATTGTTACTGCACTTTTCTAATTGATCGGCGGCGGCCATGTTGGTGACCATAAAAAAAGGAGCTAGGTGACGTGGAGAGTGTGTACCCTCGTCGCCATCTTTTTGCCCTCCTGAAAGAATGAACGTGAAAGAAGCGAGCTTCTTCTCCGTTTATTCCCAAAAATTCCCGTTTCCTTTCCGCAGGAAAAGGATACAATTTTCACAGTCCAATGATATGGTACTAAATGAAATCATTTCGAAGAATGTCGCGTTTAGTTTTGTGAATTTTGTAATTTCTTTTTATCACGCGTATGTTTTTCACTTTGTGGTGCTCAGGTTTGGTTTAGAAATTCTTCTCTCTTCTTCACAGTGACGTTAAACGCAGTTATTATTAAAATTTTTTAATGTTGCATTCTGCTCCGTGGAATGTTATCATTTTATTTTAATTCTGCGACTGCTTTTCACTGTTTAGTGCGAAATGACAGGATGTGATGAATGTCTTCGAAAAGTGAAAAAGATGGGTGAAATGAAGGATGTCAAAGTTCTGCAATTGATGGATGACTGCCATTTTGGTTGCGGGAGTGATCGGGTGACATTGTGAAGTAGAGTGCATGTATGTCAAAAATAAAGTAAATCCAAACTGGAAACATGTCTCCCCTTCGTAAGGGAGCTTTTAAAAGAAAATGTCACGTTGCGTTAGTTCGAAAATATTCCACGACGGAAAATGCGAGTTTTGGGAAAATGTTTTTATGGCCGGATGTCATGTCAGGGAAATTGATAGACATTCGAAACAACGCATGTTACGGAATCAATTGTTGTCAACGGTACACTGTTGGAAATGTGTTGAGCATTATCATACACCGATTCTTAAAGTACCAGATAAATTTCTAATAGAATAATGTTATTCTTCTCCCTAGAAATCCTCTTTAGATTTACCAGAAAAACTATCAAGTCAACCAGATATTTTCCCGATACGTTTGATTTTTTCCGTATACGGAATACCCGATACGTTTAATTAGAAACGTAATAAGGGCAATTTAAAAATTAAATCCAGTTAAAATAACTAGAATTCTGGGTCTCTTAACTGGACGTTTTTTTTTTAGTGCTGAATACACGTTTCTTGATAGAATACTATGTAAGGGCGAGAGCATATTTCTTCCTCGGCACATCCATTTTGAGGGAAAGCGCAAGATCGCATTTTCCCAGGAAACGTCTCGGGGAATATGAATTTCGGGGGAATTTATTTCCCGGCGAAATACATATCGCGAGGGACGGCATGTTTTTCGAACAATTTTCCCGGTCGAGCCGGACGGGCGAAAAGATTAATCGGACTTTAATTAAGTCTAGAGGCGCGCAGGACACTCGCGAACTTCGCTCTACGGAAGTACCGGAAGTACCGGAAGTCGCCTAAATCCAACCTGGGTAGGTCAGCTCGATAAACTTCGCCAGCGAAGTTCGAACTTTCGGGCCGCATTGATCGCAGTGCCTTGATTAAAAGATCTCCGGGCTGCGCGAAAAGAAGTGCGAAACTGGGGGAGGAAAATGAAGTTCGACGGATGAGCTTTATCAATTTTCTCGCCTCACCTGTAAAAATTGATAATGGATGCGTCTATCTCGTCTGCCGGTTTTCTCGACAATAAGACGAATGCTTATAAAACGAGCAAACGAAAGAAATACGACAACTAACATTTGGTAAATAAATTCCCGATACGCGAAAAATCTATCTTCTTATATTTGTTTACTTTTTTTTTATCTCATCCCTATCAACTGGCAACAAATTCGCGTTATTTTCACTTTTGCGTCTCGACAATGCGGCGATAAAAAGTATTGTTCGGTGATTTTTATTATCTCGTTTCTATTAACTATCGCCAGGTATGCATCCTGTGCTGATTTCTGCATCTCGTGTTTGGAACAATTCTGATAAAATAACGATAAATTGAAAATCCCCCAAAAATTTTATTATGAATTTTTTTGATTTTCGATATTTTTTTTGTTGAGAATATGTCGACAAATCGTTCGGATTCTCTGGTAGAGACTTTCCGCCGGGATTTCTCTGCCGAAAGTGTCGAAACTAATTCACGTAACGAAAGCGATTGCCAATCTCACCTGGACCCCTCCAACTCCGACGATGAATAAGAGCTGAACCATGAAGAGCGCTGCCAGGAGATTCATCAGCGTGGTCCCGGCGAGGCTGCGCAGGTCGGAAAAGAGGCTGAAAACGAAAAGGGGAGATTTTCAGATACTTTATCGCTTCTGAGGTGCGCACGTGCTCCGCCGAGGTGCGAGAGAAAGGGAGAGTGGTTCGATTTATCAAGGGCCGTTTTCACCGGGCAATTTTTACCAGCTTCCTCGTCCCTCAGGGAGGCGCTGATAACCAAAAGAATCGGAACACGTGCGTACGGAATTTTAATCAAAATATAAAAACCTGCTTATACATTTTAGACATTTCAGAGATACACGAGAAATCGCATTCATTTCAGTATGCAAATGAGGATCCCTAAAAATACCCAGATACCGCGAGAGAGCCTTAATGATTTTTTATATCTTCACTCACGATAAGAAAAATTTATACGCGGTTTAGGTACTTCACTGAAACGTCTTTTAACTTTAATCTGCTCAGATCTACGAGAGATGGAAAATCCTAAGAGAGGATTTTCTGTACTTTGTCGAATCAGCACCTCTTCGTTTCTGCTGAGACATGCAATCGATTGGCAGTTTTTTTCCTGGGATCGGGAATAAGTTCTTTAATTCCTTTAATTTCTCAATCCTAAGTGAATTCTTCGTTCTTTTAATCTAGATCTTCGAGACTTTCCGCTTAAGAGTGTCCTTTTCGAGTCGAGCCCCACCGGTTGAACTTCTCGCATTGAGCGAAGAACTAGTCAGCCGAGGGAATTGGCAGATCGAATTAAGCCTCTGCGAAGATAAGTAAGAAAGGGACGATCTATCAAAGTCTCGTCGAATCGAAGAACGATCCAGATCGAACACGGAATTTCGCTTTTTCTCGTGATGTCGCCGAATGGCGACGTCAATGACTCGGGTGGGCGTTCTTCTTCGAGGACTCTTCCAGTTTGGCATTAGACGTCTCGAGATTGATCACTCTGCTCTGATCTTCCTTTTTGGTCCATCTTCTCATTCACCATCAGGGACGACGACTGATCTCTTCGAAGAGCTCTTTTTCAGAACAGAGGACCAGGTTATCCTGGACGATTCACCGCTTTTTAGATGGAAAGAAGTCAGGGTGCAAACGTACAGTACCACGCATTTATATCGGCGTTTTAAAAAGAGACAACTGAAAATGACATTGCATGGGTATTATGAAAAACCGTTTCCGATAATGGAACGTCACTAGCAAGTCTCGACCATTTTCATTGTTTCTGGTCTACGCGCAGAAAAAGAATTCAAAGCCATAACATGAAATTTTATCCGTTTTAACAAATGTTAACCCTTGAAGATGGGTAAGATAAATGATTATTGTAAACATTTTTGCTGTCCTTGCAATTATTCCTGCAGTAAGGGCAAAACTTGATCAGCAATGCTGTCCTTTGTTAAAAGTGCAAATGTTTTTTCGCGAAGAGACGATTTATCGGAAGGACTTATGCTTTCAAAGAAATCCCTCTGAAAAGCGAGATACGCGTACAATGCTTTGCCCGGCATTTCTTTATACCGAAAAAAGTGGAGGAAAATTTCAAAATGGTCCATTTGACTTTTAGAAAGCGATATCTCGTCCAAGCAGCAGACTTTTACGTCCGTTCCTGAGAAACGATCCACCGGGCGACTGATTTTCTCAAAGAGGTCTTTTTCAGAAGGAAGATACCTCTCCGGATTTCTTAACATTGAAAAGACCTCAGCTGAAAACCCACATTCTCCGCAGTGGTCCATTCGAGATCGTAAAAGGTACCATCGCACCTGAGAAACCCCCCCTGAAACTTCCATTTCACGAAACCAACAAATTTCACGTTTCCAAAACCCTTTTCGGTGTTCCTTTGAGATTTCCCCATAAATTGCCGAATGTCTCCATTAAATTATGACAACGATGTCGACGTTGAAGTATTTAACGCAAATGGGAAGGGCAGAATGGCTTTGGAGAATAAATTCTATTAAATTCTATTGTTACCCGAAGAACAACCGGATGACGCTCGGCGGGTTTCCATTTCCGCCATTTCTAGCGTTTCTGCAGTTTCCTCCCTTTGCGGAAACGCGAGGCACACCGGAGAGGCCGAGGATCGGTGGAAAAATGGATTCTCTTGGACGTAGGTGCAGTTAACGGAGTCGAGACCCGCAGAGGGGACTTTAATCGCGCTAATAAAGTTTCCCTTTCTCCGCTTTCGCCAGAGCTTTCTCCGGGAAGCTTGCGACCCCGGCCATCGGCGAGTCGTTGTTTGGACGCGCTTCAAGCTCCGGTTTGCTTCCATTAGGTCGGGTTTAGAACGGGAAATTACACCGACCAGTTTGCACGGACCCGACAAAAGGGCAAAACGGCGACTCGTTAATGAAAGAGGCCCGACTACAATGCCCTGACCAACATCAAACGGGACATACCAGCATGTTTAATACAACCTAGAGTCACTATAACGTGAACGACAAGCATCGCGTTATTAAAGTCCCATTGTAATTAAAGTGAATTATTCTTTCTAAGAGGCTCAGAATTCGCGTTAAATATGTACGAGTTTCTCGCTCAAAAATATATTTGATTCGAAACTCTACCGAGTTTCTTGAGGCTGCAATATCTTCCTTACGTTCAATCTTTTCAATGTTTATCGCAACTGATAAACACAACGTTATAAAAATTGCGTCGTTATGTGGAATTATTGTTCTGTAACAGATTTAAAATTCGCGCTAAATGCTGCGATACTTTCCTTATGTTCAATTTTCTCAATGTTTATCGCAAGTGATAAACACAGCGTTGTAAAAGTCGTAATTATGTCGAATTACTCTTTCGTAAGGAACTCAACATTTCAGGAAAATGTGGCAATGTAAATGTGTACGGTACCCCGGACCAAAAATCGCGTTGTACTTAAGTTGCATTATTTTTTGTAAAAGGTCCACAATTCAAATGAAACGACATTGTAAAGAGAAGAAAAAGAAAGAAGTGACAAAATCATTGCTACGAAAGCAGGAATATAATCATTTCTTTGCTACATTGGTGGAGATTACAGCATCTAAATACGTCCTGCGTTAAATCGGGCGTACTTTGCTATTTTACAAATTAGGAAACCATCTTTGGTTTTGAAAAGCATGAGGCTTTCTTAAGAAGCAAGATCATGTAATGGTTAAAGCTCATGTAAATTTCCGAAACGATTCCGTGTCAAGGGGGGAACTTCAATGTTGACCATTAAAGTTGTCGCGAGAGTGTGACTAAAGCCTGATACGTGACTTAAATCGGTTCGAAATCGGGATCGATCTTAAATCATCATTGCCATAGTTTGCACGAGATCAACGAAAACCAGGTTGAAACGTGGCTTGCGAGAGGAGACACTTTGCGAAACTTGGAATGCTCAATTCCGATAATGCTTCGATCGGGGAAACTTCGAAAACCACCTAGGAGGATTGTTCTCACCTTCATTGCATTTTCGCTGTCATGAAGGACTTTCAGGATCTCGCACAAAACCTCTGCCCCCTATTCTACCAATTTTCAAAGTCATCGGAAATTCAGCAAATTTTTATAATTTCCTTTGTATCTATCAATTTGATTTTGATAAAGATTGCTCGAAAAAAAATTGGCCTCTAACAACAACCATAAAAATGATGCAGGTCATAGAGTAACACGTATCGTTTAGGATTATGGTAAGAAAAAATAACTCAATGTTGGTTTTACAAATATTCGAAATTACCTAGATGTGGTCATACACTCCTTCCGTTATGCTAAACGATACATGTGTTATCAGATATGCACAATTTAAATTGCATGATACGTAATAGGGTAATAAGTAATTAAATTCTTGGGAATAATTTAATAAATTAATATTTTCCTTGTCTCAATGTGTTCGATGTGCAGGTAGAATAGACACACATGTGCCCATTGTAGCTCGTTAAAATAGATCATCGAGTCGATTCGTACTCGGGCCTATTAATCAAGTTTGATTACCGTGCCCTCGTTAATTCGCATATATCGCAAATGATATCGCCTCCATAGGCCACCTGCAAATCGAGAATAGGGTGTCAATCGCGCATGCGTTTGCCGCATAATTAACATATTCATAAGTGATTTCATGCCCGATAGGTATCGATGAATGGTTTTCCATTTAAATGTCGAGGCCAAAGAGCGACGCCAAATCTACCGAAAATTTGGATGTGCAGCCTGTAAACGATTCTCATGGAAATAGCGATCCTCAAAGAGGTACGCCACCATTTACCTAATCAACTCGCTTGATTAAAAATTTTTCTGTCGATCATCAACATTTGAAGTGAAACAAAAATAAGAGTAAGAGTAACAGGCGTAAGAGTATTTCGTGAAAGAATAATTAATAATATCCAGTATTTCTCTTTAATCCAGAAATTTCACTTCTACCCCCCGTGCTACGCGGCGAATTTTTTAATGGCACATTTTAATCTAATGAATTTCAGAGGAGCGACGCTTTACTAGTCGAATTATATGGTATGGCAAAACAGACACAATGTAATCGGAGATATCAGCTGTTTGAATTTCTAGAGATAACTCGAGGCAAAGTCGTTTGCGAGGCACTCCCTCGTGTGGAAAGAGGGTTTGCGCGAACGGGGAGTAGAGAGGGTCTCATTTGCCTTCATTTACCTCTCATTTGCAGACACGTAAGGCATCCCGAGAAACGTGAAGCCTAGATTTCATATAACGTTTCGAAGGACTCCCCGAGCTACCATAGCGTAAGCAATTTGTCAGTTCTGCTCGTTTATGGCAAATCCTGCTGTCCAGAGTTCGGAGTCAAGCTTTGGCTGAGCTTAGAACTTTGGTCAATCAATGGATGACGTCTCTACCCATCGATTAGTCGAAAAGTTATCCGGAGTTCGAATCCCAATCTCCAGGTTTTGACGATGCAGTCTTTTCCAGAAGGATTTATTAGAATAATTATTAATTTATTAGATTAATCAAAATGACATTACGTTTAAAAGAATACTGTTACTCACTATTTCCTTCTTTCCTCTTTCAGGGATACTCTTATTGTCAGATTACTTTTTCAGGATATCCGAGTTCCAGAATCAATTAAGATCAGAGGAATAAAATTGGATGATCAGAATCAA